TTTTCGGGGTTGTGGCTAAAACTAGGGGGCGTGTTTCAGGTGCCCAAATGAGCTCTTCTGATTGGCTGAAATTCTCTGCCCTCTGAACTGTGCCCGCCGTTGCCTCTACAGATGTACAAATGACTTTTGCACCATTTTTCACACAGATAGGCAGTGCATAAGGGAGAGAGCGTGAAACTTGTCATTTGCAAGCGAAAAACAGTATTTGAGACTTGTAGCAGCAGATTCACGCCGTTGTAGCTATGCACTTGTGTTTGTGCTAGAAAAAGCATCCAAGAAAAAAATATATATGTAAGAAAACATTCTACAAGCGTGCAAATCTCATTGAAAGATTTCACAAACTGATTTGCGGATGTACAAAATTCGTCCGTGACCACATTTTTTGATGCAGGTGTGCGAGTTTCTTGATTTGTGATTAGTAGACTAGGATTTGTGCACCTGCAGTGAAGGATTCAAGAACGTGTAACTGTTGTGTTGTGTTTGTGGGAGAGAAAAAAATATCTACAAGTTTGCAACGTTTGTCTGTGACTTCAGATTTACTGATACACATGTGTGGCTATTTTCTACAACTACAAATTCCGCTGTCACGGTCACTCAGTTGTTTTGCACCAAAAATACCTTCATACCTGGCCAAACTGAGCAATCGATGGAGAAAGGTTTTGGTTTGACTGGTGACCAAGAAGCTGATGGTCACTCTAGTTGAGCTCCATGATCATATATGCAGATGGGAGAAACTTACAGAAGGACAAACATCACTGCACCACTCCACCGATCTGGCCTTTATGGCGGTGTGGCCAAACTCAGTCCTCTCCTCAATGAAAACACATGAAAACACACTTAAAATTTGCAACAAAGCACCTAAAGAACTCTCAGATTGTGAGAAACAAAGATTCTCTGGTCTGATTAACCTCAATTCTAAGCATCACATTTGAAGGAAACCAGCTCTGCTCATCACCTGCAGAGTATAGCATCCCAAAAGTTAAGTGTGGCAGTAGCAGCCTCATGCTGTGGGTCTGTTTTTCAGGGGCAGGGACTGAGGGACTTGTCAGAGTAGACGGAAAGCTTTACAGAAGGACAAACATCACTGCACCACTCCACCGATCTGGCCTTTATGGCGGTGTGGCCAAACTCAGTCCTCTCCTCAATGAAAACACATGAAAACACACTTAAAATTTGCAACAAAGCACCTAAAGAACTCTCAGATTGTGAGAAACAAAGATTCTCTGGTCTGATTAACCTCAATTCTAAGCATCACGTTTGAAGGAAACCAGCTCTGCTCATCACCTGCAGAGTATAGCATCCCAAAAGTTAAGTGTGGCAGTAGCAGCCTCATGCTGTGGGTCTGTTTTTCAGGGGCAGGGACTGAGGGACTTGTCAGAGTAGACGGAAAGCTCAACACAGCAAAATATTGAGAGAGCCTTAATGAAAACCCAGTCCAGAGCATTCAGAACCTCAGACTGGGCAGAAGGTTCACCTTCCAACAGGACAATGACCCTAACCACACAGCAAGAGTGGCTTATAGACAACTCTGTAAATGTCCTTGAGTGGCCCAGCCACTGAGCTTGAACCAAATAAAACATTTCTGGAGAAACCTGAAAATGTCTGCCAGCCCCCATCCAAGCTGACAGAGCTTGAGAGGTGAAGAGGTGAGGAGAATAATGGCAGATAATTGCCAAATGCAGATGTGTAAAGCATTTCCCAGCAAGGTGAGCACTCACTATAGAAACCTGCCCGCCAGGATGCTGATGAAAAAAGGTCTAAAAACAAGAGTGCCGCCCAGTTGATGTAACAGCATCTTGGAGTGTGAGAAGGGGCCATCAGATTTTCTCATAAATGGAAAGACAGCTAGTAAAGCGGTTGGCATGTGTCTTTGTGGCAGGGTGCTGTCACACATAGTTGAAACTATAGGCCCTCCTGCTGCTGAGCTGCATGTTAAAGCCTTCTTACCCAGACCTCCCAGCTCCTGGCTAAAAACCTCTTTATTTCACATGAAAGAAATGCTGGGCGGTTTTTCACTCACTCTATCCTTCCCTTACCCCCATTGACGCTGCAATGATACGTAGTTGTGTAGTTGTTTTCCATAAAAAGTCTCCTCTCTTCTCAAACATGCATAACAACTTCTTATTGTGACATATTGCCTTCATTCCCTTTTTTCATGTTTTTTTAAGCTGTCGTTTTACCCAGTGTTGTTATTTTTATTTAAAAAATAAATTAAAAATTATGATTAAAACTACTATTACTATTAAAAATGCTTTCAGTAATTGAAATAAAGCTACTGTAGAATAATATAAATATCAGATGGAAAAAATAGAAATAGAACTAATTTAAATCAGTTGAAGTACTAAAATTGCTGAAACTAAAACTAAAATAATAAGAAAAACTATAAATAAGAAAAATATTAAGAAATTTAAATAAAAATTAAATTACTATAAATTGGCATTGACTATTATAAATATTGTTGGCTCTTTGACAAATTACTTTTGTTTCTCTTTAGTAAGTCGCTTTGAATAAAAGCGTAAATGTAAACTAAAATTAAAATGAAAACTAAAAAAAAAAACTAGTTTATTTTCATATGAATAAATACTACAATAGTATGTAACACTGGGTTTACCATACACAAAATGTGTTTTTAATGCATCTCTCGCTTTTTTTTTTCATTGTAGGCATCACTTTTTTTTCTCTCTCTCTCTCTCTCTCTCTCTTTTAACATTAGGCTGCGATATAACAAAATGTGAAAAAATGAAGGGGTATGAATACTTTTTATAGGCACTGTATATATTTTAAGTACAATTCATCCATGTTTATTGTTTAGTTTTTTCGAGCTTGTAATTTATAATGAAAATGTCACAACTCGATCTTCTGGTGAAATATGCTGGACTTCTCCAATCATCTAGTCGGCATAAATTCCGCCCCCTGCACAATCGACTGCAAGCTCGCGTTCAGACCTGCCTCCATCCAATCAATAACCGATGGTTAGAATTAAGTCCCCGCACTACATTTTTTGTTGATAATCTGTTCACTCTGATGCATGATGTCACAATACACAAAACACGCTGGCATGTGGCCTCCGTGTCACCCTAACCTGAAAAAGAGACAGAGCCGAGGGGCTTGGGGAGCCAAGCGATGTCAACATGTCACATAGCAGCTAAAGTAGATTGTGGAGGTTTTGTGTGTGCACAGAAAGACAGAGAAGAGGGGGAGTTTTGCTCCTTTCTCAGGAATGTCTAAACACAACCCTGTGTTTGCAGTCAGCACTGAAGTGTGTGTGAGTGGGTGTATGAGGTGGAAGGGGGTTGCGTTTGATCTGTTTTAATCCTCTCAGAAGTTTAACCACTCATTTCCCAGCAAGGTGAGCACTCACTATAGAAACCTGCCCGCCAGGATGCTGATGAAAAAAGGTCTAAAAACAAGAGTGCCGCCCAGTTGATGTAACAGCATCTTGGAGTGTGAGAAGGGGCCATCAGATTTTCTCATAAATGGAAAGACAGCTAGTAAAGCGGTTGGCATGTGTCTTTGTGGCAGGGTGCTGTCACACATAGTTGAAACTATAGGCCCTCCTGCTGCTGAGCTGCATGTTAAAGCCTTCTTACCCAGACCTCCAAAAACCTCTTTATTTCACATGAAAGAAATGCTGGGCGGTTTCTCACTCACTCTATCCTTCCCTTACCCCCATTGACGCTGCAATGATACGTAGTTGTGTAGTTGTTTTCCATAAAAAGTCTCCTCTCTTCTCAAACATGAATAACAACTTCTTATTGTGACATATTGCCTTCATTCCCTTTTTTCATGTTTTTTTAAGCTGTCGTTTTACCCAGTGTTGTTATTTTTATTTAAAAATAAATTAAAAATTATGATTAAAACTACTATTACTATTAAAAATGCTTTCAGTAATTGAAATAAAGCTACTGTAGAATAATATAAATATCAGATGGAAAAAATAGAAATAGAACTAATTGAAATCAGTTGAAGTACTAAAATTGCTGAAACTAAAACTAAAATAATAAGAAAAACTATAAATAAGAAAAATATTAAGAAATTTAAATAAAAATTAAATTACTATAAATTGGCATTGACTATTATAAATATTGTTGGCTCTTTGACAAATTACTTTTGTTTCTCTTTAGTAAGTCGCTTTGAATAAAAGCGTAAATGTAAACTAAAATTAAAATGAAAACTAAAAAAAAAAACTAGTTTATTTTCATATGAATAAATACTACAATAGTATGTAACACTGGGTTTACCATACACAAAATGTGTTTTTAATGCATCTCTCGTTTTTTTTTTTCATTGTAGGCATCACTTTTTTTTCTCTCTCTCTCTCTCTCTCTTTTAGGCATATGAGTGGGCGCTAGAGGGCATGCGTCATTTGGCATGTGTTAGTATGGAGGAGTGTGGCATGTCTGAGAAGTGTCCGAGTGTGATCGCGTGTTTGGAGACCTATCGCAGTCAGCACCCCCCGATCCCAGACGCACACTTCCAGGAGATGAAGGACCTTGCTGGGGAGATGAAGAGTGAACAGGGACTCAAGCAGTGGAAGTTTGCCTGGTCCAAGTGTCAGGAGACCAAGCAGATGTTTGAGAAGAAGCTGGAGATGGCCCTGCGCACCCGCCGTGAGAGTGACTCCAAATCAGCGATGGGTGACTCCTCTCGCCGGAACTCGGACTGTAGAGCTAAACCTCAGGAGCGTAGCAGTAGCATCTCCTTCTCATGTCGGAAAGCGTTCGGCGGAGGCTGGGGCCGGGACAGACTTTCCTCACAGTCAAGCATATCCTCAACTCCTAGCAGTCCTTCAGGCATTCGCATGGACACCCGTGACTCTGTCCGAACCCCATCAGGAAGTCCATATAGCATTGTGCACAGAAGCACCCCTTTCGGGTCCCACAGGCTAACACGTAGCATCTCCACAGACGAGTCTCTGCAGCAGCCACATCTGGAGGGGCAGGCATGTGCTACAAGCCCAAGCCTCACCTCTATCGAACCAAACCGCAGGGTTTTGCGGAAGACCCAGAGCTTTGATACGGCCAGTAGCGAGTCTGTGTCACGGTATGGGACCTGTCAGAGAACTTTGAGTGAGCCTGCACGGAGAGGAAACACAGGGGTGTTCATTAAGGGTCTGGAGGTGAGCAGCACGGAAGTGATCGATCGGCCGTACAGCCCGCGACTACCGCCCATGCATGAATGGTCTTCTGTTGACACTCACCGCAGTGGGAGTCCTGCACCAGAAACACGTAACAAGGGCAGGTGGGTACACGTAAGCAAGTGCTGTACCCACACTACCCACACTCACTTGCTGTAATATAAACACAATCAACCAGGGCGGTCTGCAGGCCATCGACTAAAGAATGCTTCAGCATAAAACCACTTACTGTATATCGACCTTTTTATGATAGCTGTGTCACAGAACACACACACTCACACTGGAATAAATGCAGTGTGATGTTGTAACAGAATATGAGCAACAATGCTGCCAAAAAACGCAGACAAATATATTTAGCCTGGCTCATAATTAATTACTTGTATAATTATAATAAATAAATTATATAATTATTAATAATATTATATATTAATTTATGTTGCATAAATAATGTTGAATTGGATTAGAAATATTATCTTTATATTAAAAATCTAACAGTACAGATAATGATGTCCAGATATTTTATTAAACTGTATTTCAATGACAATATAAAAGTCAATTATTTATTTTTGCAAACAACATGATGTTAATGTATAAAATCATACTTTTTTTACACATTATAAATGGGTTTCTATACATGAAAATGTACAGTGTAGCTGTATTTAGTTTCTTAGGAAGAGGTGCTTTTGCATATATTTGACCAGCAAACTGCTCCAAATTGAACACGCACACACAAGACATCCAGGAAAAAAAGTGTTTTCCAACTATAAAACATACTAAACAGACTAAATCATGTTCGTAATGTGTGCATAAAGGAACTCAGTATGTCTAATATTAAACAGTCACAGCCCCGTAATCCTCTAAATCTCCATAGATGTCTTTTCCAGCTGTGGGGTACAGATCACTGTCCCAGGTGGGCACTGGTCCTCTGGGCTTTGAAGTGCTGGGGAGCATGTTCTGTGTTCTGCTCCTCCACACTGAAGAGATGGATGGAGTTGATTATATAGGCGTCTTAAGTAGGTCTTTACATCTGTGTGTCTTCCTTTCAAAACACATTTCTCACTCTCTGAGATTACAGTACAGAGGTGATGTTGACAGTTTTTCAGACAGAAATAACTGTGGTCCAGTTACTGCAAATATAAGGCTGATGAAAAACTTCTGATAAGAATCCAGTTTAAGATGAATGTAAATACTAAAACATCACCATATTTTTCTCCGTACTGGACACACACACATGTTCAGCTGTGTGGTAAGAAGGTAAAGGTGCTGTAATAATGTTTGTAAGACTATCAGACAACAGGTGCTCTATGCCTTTCATTTATTTTGAGCATTCAGGTTTGCTGTCATCAGGTTGACATGATGGAGGGTTTAATGAAGAGGGGCCATGTGGTCAAAAAGGCAGTCAAGAGTTAAACTTTGTGTTTTAAAACTACTGAGTTTAAAACAAATGCCAAGGGAACGGTCACAGTGAGCCATCCAGTCTGAGTTAGAGATCATGGGCTCTCAAGTGATTGGCTTGAGTGTTTCAGGGAGAAAGCATATGACATCCTAGAGAGACAAGTGAAAATACCTGTCTTTTATGGTTGCATAGTCTGACAAAGCTGTTAGGGCACACATGCTGATGTCAAACTGATATACACTACTGTTAAAAAGTTTGGGGTCTGTAAGATTTTTTTAAAATGTTTTTGAAGGATGTCTCCTATGCTCACCCGGGGGGGGGAGTAATTGTAATAAATATTATTACAATTTTAAAAAAATCTAAAATGTAATTTTTTTTCTTTGATGGTAAAGCTGAATATTCAGCACCCATTACTCCAGTCTTCATTTTCACATGATTCTTCAAAAATAATTATAATTTGCTGATTTGGAACTCAAGAAACATTTCTTGTTATTATCAATGTTGAAACAATTGTGCTGCTTAATGTTTTTGTTGTAAAAGTTTTTAAAATCTCACAGAAATGTTAAAATCTTATCAAATGTAAGCATTTGGAGTATGTTAATTGTGCACACTCTCTCTGTCTTTCAGTAAACTATGCCACATCGTAGATGAGATGGTAACAACGGAGCGGGAATATGTGCGTTCTCTGCGGTACATCATTGACAACTATTTCCCTGAGATGGAGCGCGCTGACCTGCCACAGGACCTGCGGGGAAAGCGCAGCGTCATCTTCGGAAACCTGGAGAAGCTGGTGGACTTCCACAGCCAGTATTTCCTGAAAGAGCTTGAGAGCTGCTGCAATCATCCACTACGTGTCAGCCACTGCTTCCTACGACATGTAAGAGAGTTCCGATCTGTTTTTTTTAGTTACATTTCACAGTCTATTAATTCTAACTGTTCTTATGTTTTCAATTCTAATACAGGTACATCTAAAGAAATTAGAATATCATGAAAAAGGTCAATATTTTTTGTCACTCATTTCAGAAAGTGAAACCCATATATTATATAGATTCATTACACATAGAGTGAAATATTTCAAGCCTTTATTTCTTGAAATTTTGATGATTATGGCTTACAGATAATGAAAACCCAAAATTCAGTGTCTCAGAAAATTAGAATATTGTTCAATAATGTAATATATGGGTTTCACTTTCTGAAATGAGTGACAAAAAATATTGACCTTTTTCATGATATTCAAATTTTTTTAGATGTACCTGTAGAGCTCATTCTGGGATTCTGAATTAAATGTCACAAATTAAATCATATTTTCATTGGAAATGAAACAAATGGGCTTAATTTGTCAGTGCTCGTCTGTTCCCAGTCCATGACGGAAAGACCTGATCAAAGAAGTGAGTGAAGTCCAGGAGCAGGAGCTAACGTACCTACGTGCCGCCACCGAGATGGTCAAATTCCAGCTTCGCCATGGCAACGATCTGCTCGCCATGGATGCTATCAGAGATTGTGATGTAAGCGGACACACACACCACTTCACATTTGAGACGTGGGAAAGCCAAATGATCTTCTGCATTACCATTTCATATTTTATTCTTCCAGGTGAACTTGAAAGAGCAGGGGCAGTTGGTTCGGCAAGATGAGTTCACTATTTGGTATGGCAGGAAGAAGTGCCAAAGACATGTGTTCCTGTTTGAGGATCTAGTGCTGTTCAGCAAACCCAAACGCATTGAGGGTGGCCTAGATGTTTACATTTACAAGCACTCTTTTAAGGTGAGCACCTAAAGGACATCTGAAGTTTAGAGAGACAGGAAACATCTCCATAAAAACACAAATGCATTGACAATTATTTCTTTTACTAATACACTCACATCCTTTTATTATATGTCCTCTGTCCTATGTTAATATCAGCATCAGTTCGGTCTCCTGCAAGCCATAATAATAACAAGATGCCATGAGCCCTCAATATTGATTGAAAGGATATGTGAATATTCTCTCTACTCTGTCATTCTCTTTGTAGACGGCTGATGTGGGTATGACAGAGACGTCGGGTGAGAACGCTCTGAGGTTTGAGGTCTGGTTCAGGAGGAGAAGTTCAAAGAACCAGACCTACATTCTCCAAGCCAGCACTGCCGAGATCAAACATGCCTGGACCTGCGACATTGCACGGATACTGTGGCAGCAGGCCACACGGAATAAAGGTGGGAAAGAAAAACTTAATAAGTTGTTTGAATTTGTTTTGTTCAGCATTCTGAACATGAGAGGATAATTGCAGATAATATTTCCTGTCTCATACCATCTTAGCATATCTAAAAAAAGAAATTTAGCATTTCATCTGTAAAGGCCTCAGGCAGATTGGAAGCTATTTAAAACACTTTCGAGTCACACCAGTGTTGTATTTCTACAGTTTGATATGAGTGTGAGAAAGTGATGCAAATCCAGGGCTTTGTTCAACCTGTATTTGCATATATTTACTCAATCCCTAAGGAAATATTTTTTACACTTTATATGTGCTTTATGCTTTCTGAAGCTTAATGTCAGTTATTGGAGTGTCAACCATATGGTTACTGATGCCGGATTATTTATGATAATATCATTTGTGCAGTAATTTTTTAATTTTTAAATATCACAGTTATCATCAGTACTTTTTCATTTCTGATATATGGCAGCGTTTTTAAACATGTTTCTATGTGTGTATGCAGAAGTTCGAATGCAGGAGATGGTCTCTATGGGGGTGGGCAATAAACCCTTCCTGGACATTAAACCCAGTGATGCTGCTATCAACGACAGAGCCATTGACTACATTATGAAAGGCAGAGGTGAGCCTGTTTAACACAACTCATCAGAATAACTTGCTCTCACCAGAATAATATTTTGATTATAAATAAGCAGCTAATGATTCTATGGGTTGTTTTTACTATTGTCATACTCGTTCTTCTGTTACAGGGGCCAGGACGAGAGCCTCCATTGCTGTCTCGCTTTTTGACCACTCAAACCCATTCAAACGAGCTGCAGTAAATGCTCCTGTTAGCGGCCCCCCGGTGTCCGGTGGCCCCTCCTCTTCCACGCTGCTGGGGCCCTTGAATCTGCATATGTACAGCAGCCAAAGCCTGTTAGCAGGGGAGAGACCTCTCATCAGCCCCTGCATCGAGGAAGACGAGCTGGAACATGAGACCAGCAGTCAGCCGTCTATGAGTATGTATCATAACATGTTTGAAAGTGTTAAACACTTTCTCAGAAACCACATATATAACAGGATGTTGATCTTTGACTTGTGTTTGTAGCTACAGAGAGTTCAGGTTCGTCGTCTCACTGTCTGTCAGGTAGTGGCTCGAGCGGGTCAGACAGCGGATGTGTGTCCAGTCACCTTCCCGAGGCTTTGTCCGAGGAGCCCAGCTCACCGTGTGACTCCTCCTGTTACTCCACCATCACCTCTCCCACCCAGGAGAAACCCTGCTTTAACAGCCAGTACATCTCAGCGGTTAGTATAGCATGTGTCCATTTCAGATGGCCAGTATTTGGAGTGCACATCTTCAAGCTTCTGCCAGCATCAAATGACCTATCAGGGGCTGCGTTTACACTTGGCAATAACATGCGACCTCGCTTTGTCCGAGGAGCCCAGCTCACCGTGTGACTCCTCCTGTTACTCCACCATCACCTCTCCCACCCAGGAGAAACCCTGCTTTAACAGCCAGTACATCTCAGCGGTTAGTATAGCATGTGTCCATTTCAGATGGCCAGTATTTTGAGTGCACATCTTCAAGCTTCTGCCAGCATCAAATGACCTATCAGGGGCTGTGTTTACACTTGGCAATAACATGCGACCTCTATGCGGATGTTGTCCACATACACATTGAAAAGACAAGTGTAAACGTGCTTCTGATCAGAATGTTATCCGATCAGCGTGTCCTGGTCCAGAGGTAGTCGAGGACGCATTGTGATCGGATCTCAGTGTAATGTAAACGCAAACGCCATCGTGTGTGCATTCGCAGGTCGACATCACGCAAAACGCCGCCCCCTCTCTCCCGAATTGTCAGAAGAACAGAGCGCTAGTGAGACTCATACATTAATACCTCTATGCGGATGTTGTCCACATACACATTGAAAAGACAAGTGTAAACGTGCTTCTGATCAGAATGTTATCCGATCAGCGTGTCCTGGTCCAGAGGTAGTCGAGGACGCATTGTGATCGGATCTCAGTGTAATGTAAACGCAAACGCCATCGTGTCTGCATTCGCAGGTCGACATCACGCAAAACGCCGCCCCCTCTCTCCCGAACTGTCAGAAGAACAGAGCGCTAGTGAGACTCATACATTAATTTTGATTTGTAAAACGTCCCGCGACTGAAAATAGTTTTCAAAAGAAAACCCACCACTTCAGGTCGACTTTGCACTGCAGACTTATTTAAATATTGCGCGGGAAAGACAGATCCGATCAGTTATCCAGATAGAGAAGTCAGTTGATGTTGCCAAATGTAAACGCGCCGTGTCCTGATTGACTGGTGATCCGATCTGCTTAATCGGATCACGGTGATCGCATGTTAATTCCAAGTGTAAACACAGCCAGTGTCACTGAGGTTACATCCGCATAAATCCGGATGAATTTGAAAACGCATCTTTTTCTCTACCTATTTATCCAAGTGGATAAATTTGAAAACAGTTTTCATGTTGTAGTGTGGACTGTGAAAACAGAGGTATTCGAAAGCGATGTTGCATGTTTAATCTATTGTTTTACTGGCATTGTTGTGCCTACTATTCACTTCAATGATGTTGCTAATGCTGTTTTAGACCATATATGGAACGGCAATTTTAAGTGCAACCCGGATACACCAGTGAGTTGTGGGATATGTGCTAATAAATGATAGTGCCAGAAGAATAGCGTGAGAACTTTATGATGTATGTCTCTATGTATCATCAGAGAGTGTTTTAAAACAGAAACAGCTTTTTCAAATATATTCGGATATATGTGGACACAGCCTGATGCAGAAATATCTCATAACACCCATGCTTATGCCAGCACTAATAAACGCATTAAAGAAGACACTGATCACCTGACGATTGAAATCAAAGCCTCCCCTTTAACCTGTGATAACACCTGCACCCATCTCCTTCTCGTCATAGGGGGAAGCTCAGGTGATTGGTCCCTCTACTATAGTGTGAGCTCAGTAACCACTGTTGCAGTAAGTCTGGCTTTCGCTCCATGGCATCACACTTCCATTGCTATTTGCATTAAAACTCATCTTAGCTTAGTAAAAATATTCATGGTGCTTAAACTAGTGCTTTTACACGTGCTTGTTATTCTATCCTCCTTTGTCCCGTAGGTTTAAGACCTGTCTGCTTCAGACTGAGAAGACAACATTGCGACACCGAAGAGGAGTACAGAGCTAGTATTTATTGTTCCCATTGAGTGCCAGCAAATCTCATGCAGCTTAAAAAGCGCTGAAAATAGCACTGTTTCTTATTTTCTTTTTTTAAACCACTTTTAGCATCAATAGCTTTTATATAAATTGAAAAATGATCTATAAAACTGAATAAATATTCTTGTATTTATCTTCTTTTCAAATGTTAAGATGCAGTAGTGTTCTCAGCTGTATTGTTAACTAAATACCGTAGTAGTGTACAATACACTTCTGAACTGTTGCGGTTATTCACTCTTTTTGTTGTTGTTGCCCACTTTGCTGCAGACTTCAGGTGGTTTGATTTAGAAAAAAATGCATTAATGTTAAAAGGCATGTCTAGATTTCTAAGCATCAGTACACTAAAGACGTTAAGCAATGTTTAAAGCATTTGTTGTAGAGTTTCTGTTCGTTCTAGTGTTTCCATAGTTTGTGGACCTGTAGTCAGTCGGTTCAGTATGCTGTTTGATAGCTGGCCTGATCCAGAATCAGAGAGCATTCATTCAAATTATTCGACTGGCCTCAGGTCAGCTCTACCCAGTACTGCTGCTCATGGGTGCTGGATATCATTGCTGCCTGTTTGGAGATGGTGAGAGTTTCTCTTAATTAAGTTTCTCTTCATTACATTATATTGCGTATAACAAATACAACATGTAAATTGTAAATAATTGCACCAGTGGTGCTTTGAGGACATAGCGTTTAGGAAGTAATGTTTATACATGTATTAACCAGTCAACATGGGAATCACTCAAGTGCCATTCTTTGTTGCCAACCCAACTTGTAAGTGTACAAACAAAAGATAATAATAATAAAAAGCACTGCAAGTTCCACTTCAAGCTGAAGCAAGTGTTTTATTTTTCAATCTTAACAAGTTCACAGAAGTAATAAAGAGGGATTGCTTTGTACCGATAAAGGAAGTGTGTTTTATTCATTGTCTTTAATCATTTATGATTGGCATAAAGTAGAAACCCATATCCCACAAACCCTGCAGGCTGGTGTTCAATTTCTGCACACTGACTGAGCTAAGAATCGGATTCATTGTTACTAATGATGTTATTGTGCCTTGGGGCGCAAGCAGTATGTAGTTTAAATGTACTTTCAAATACATGTAAACAAGTGGTGTGAGAAATGATGCTCAGTTCGGTTTACTGTACCGTTTTAGCCTGAGGAACATTGTCATCAATAGCTTCTTCACACTAACTCTTTTTGAATGGCTTGTGGAAAGCAACTGTACTTCGTTGGCAACACTTTTTATAATTACATATATAAGATAAACAACAGACATGTAATGAGTTTAAACAGACTAATGTGACAGGAAATATTGTGCCTTTGCCTCTGAAACTATTGTTACCTTTAACCACATTTTCTTCTCTACATAAATTGATCCACAGCAGCATGGTTTGTCTGTAACAGGAAGGAAGGTGAAAATACATGAATGATCGCCCATTAATCATTTTAATCTTTTAAAAAGCCTCGTCTGGAGGAAATGGACTAGATTTGCTATAAACCCTAGAGTCCATTTTGGTGGAGTCGTGTATCCCCATCAGGAAAGCACGGCTTCCATGGGCCAACATCATCTACTTTTTAGAAAGACTGAAATATGCAAAGTCCACATCTGGACAGGGAGATATTAAGTTAAGTTGTTTAGCATGTAGGGAATGCCACAGAATTTTCCAGTGTTCTTTGTTTTGTCCACACACGGATGGAAACCACAAACCCGAGAGTGGAACAGAACTCAATGAGGCAGAATCATTCACAGCAGGACTTGAGTATGATGAGCTTTGAGTGCTCCAGTGAGGCTGCATGGGCTTCTGCAGGACTACTCTGGTTTATTTATCTCTTTTACCAAGAATATTTTGCACCATCTATCTTTAATGATATTACAGCCAAATCTGAACTTGAGGAAGAGGGGAAAACTGGATATGAGCAATGGGAACATAATGAATCGTGTAAAATCTAGAACACATCTCTGGGACAGTCATGAAATTAATATCCATCCATCACACAGATATTCACAGAATCCTATTCTTAACTCTGACTTTACACATAGCCTAAGCCTAACACATTAGGCCTAACTCAAATCCTTAACTTCCCCAAACCACAATTAAGGTTACTATGGTGCGGTAAAAATACAGTATATCTCTGGTGCATGTTATTTATATCGTTAGATTTCTAATGCACTATTTTATCCTTTTATTATGTACCGGTTATGAATGCTGTGTGATATTTATCTGCTTATCTTTTCCCTAGCGTGTAAAAAGTGGGTCTCCTCTTCCTAGCACTGGAGGATGATCAACCTGTACCACAAATCAACCAGCAGGTGGCGCACAGCCATGAATACTGCAGCTCTCTGCCTCATCTGTAGTGTTTATTAGGCCTATATATGATACATTGGGAATAACATAAATCATAAAACTGCTACCTATCCTAAACGGGGTGCTCACATCATTGTTTTGATAAATATTACATATGACTACAGTGGCTCCTCAGAATCTTTCACTGAAGAAGAACTCAGTTACTTCCATGAAATTCTTTTTAAAGACCTTGCAAATACTTTACCATGGTATATATGAGTATATAGCAGTATCTCGATAAGTATAGAAAACAAAATACCATGGTCTTATCATTTGATACCATTACTATACCATTGTGTCACCCCAATGCTGGTCTCTGTGCTGTCGTCTGAATTTCAACCAAACCTCCGCTGGTCTGTGCTGTTGGAATGTGGACACTTCTGTCATGCTGACACTGTGCTGAGTGATTGTCCCGGGCCCTCTGGGCTTCTCGGCGTCTGCGTTAGTTCCCTTCGCTTTCTCACACAGGTGTTATAGTTGGTCTCTTTGCATTGTAAATGGTGTGTGTCGTTGCGCTGTATTAGTTCTGCCTGTATCCGGGTTCTGCTGGTGTCCGCTCATCATCTGTCTGTTGATGGAGACTACATTCATCAGCAATGCAGCCTTTGCTGAATCTGACAGTCCTGTCCTCAAGCCGCCCCCCTTGGCTTCCACCATTACAGTCATCCCGTCCAACAGACTCATCTTGGAGAGACCCAAATGTCTGCTAATGTCCCACAGTATATTCATCATGGGTGCCATACATGTAATGTAACTGAGGCGACAGACTGCTGTTGCATCTCAGGCACTCCATGAAATCTGGCGCAGGTGGCTGAGGGGCTGCGCTGGGCCAACTGTGTGATAGAGAGAAACGAGTTATTGGCTGTTGCCTGTTACATATGGGAATGGTTTCCATGTGATGCTTGGGACAACTCATCTGTTCAATCTCTTTTAGGTGCCAGCATCTTTTCACACTTGTTCATAGCATGTGTCAGTGGGTGGAAAACCAACATATGCTGTTGCTCTGAGTGTGTGCTGGAGGTCTCAGTGGAGAGAGGAGAGGTTGTGAAATGACATGTGGACATTATTGGTCCTGGGTAATAAAAATATATTTTATAAAATATTATTTTCTGCAAGATTAATATATAAATAATGGTTTTGTGTTTAAAGTTCATTTGGATTCAATATTGCTAGTTTCTTTTTCTGTTTTTCATATTACTGCTTTTACAGTTTTCATCTACATTTTACCTGTACCTTTTTTTCACCTACACTGTAAAAAATAAGTGTAATTTTAACTGTAAAATTTTGTAAAAACGCTATGGAAAAAAAACTGTTAATAGGTTAACAGTAAGTTCCCGTACTATATACAGGAAAAACTGTAAAATATCTAACCAGACATTTCATGTAATTTTACAGTAAAATGCTGTTAATTTGGCAGTTTTTAGAAGTAAAAATAACAAATCAATGTATAATTTACAGTCAAAAACTGTAAACTGATATTCCCAGAATTCCCTGCATGACACTCCACATTTGAAAGTATTTTGTTTGAATAATCATGTTTTTCAAATAGTTTTTGTTATTAGTTATGTATATTTGGGCTTTATGTTACATCTTCTGTTGTTTAATGAAAGTTTAATGCATGATTTAAGTATCACGTGTGTTACCATGATGGTGTTTTGTGTTTGCATGAATGGCTCGTGCACCTTCGATATATTAATATATACTTCTGCTTGTGGCGAAGCTACTTGTGATGAGCTTTGATTCTTCATGTGGCTTTCTCTTTTACCACCTGCATTATTATGGTGGTTGTCAATATGTTAAAGGTACAAAACAGATTTTAATAGCAGTGTGCATTGTTGAATTTACTGGTTTACATTCAAATTTTCTTGTTTGTAAATTACAGTATTATACTGTAAAATTTACAGGTTTTGGCCTTACAGGTTTTCTGCATTTTTTACAGAATTATTCTGGCAACCACAGCTGCCAAAATTATTTAGTAAAAACTACAGAATTTTTTTTTACAGTGTACGTTTATTGTTCATGGAGTCACAGAAAATGATCCTGAAGCATTTGCCTGGAGTGACTGCTTCATTTACATCTTCATTTAAATCCCTGATGTTCAACTTAACCATGGTAAGAAAGTGAAAGAAAGAAAGAAAAGTTTATGAGGAGTATGTTAGTGACAAAGAGATATGGGCTTATTCATTATTTTGACTCCCACAGAGCCTCTTTTATAGATCAGATTTGGTACCAGATCAGATTTTGTTTTGTACCAGCAGTAATAGATTTGCTGATGCTGTTGGCTCAGGGAGGACTCACGACACATAACATTCAAAGGCTGCACAGGTGTATCCATCTGCATTTGCATTTGTGTTTTTGTACTTGGGTTAGACTGGGTGAAATACTGGAGCGTTGAATGCAGTACCAGATGCTGGAGCTCTTATGCATTGCTTTAATAAGTAAAAGAAACAAATGTCTTTGTAACATGGTAAAATCACATATTCATTACACAAAGTTTAAGAAAAATGCTTATGATGGATGATCTATCATTTGAATAGGCTAAACCTGCACTGCAGAGCCTGTATGAAATGGATCAAACCAGCTTTTCTTGCCCAGTTTTTGCCCTAGACACTGAAATACTGGATCAGAGAGACCTTCCTCATCTGAAGAAAAAAATGAACAAAAACAAACCACAATTTGCACTAATCTCATGCAGCTGACATAACTCACTCTGTTGGTTTAAACTCTCAGTCAGCATTAAAATGTGCATGGAATGTATGCATGCTTTCATAAATGTCTAAAAACCCATCAGTCAAATGCATCAACAAAAGATATGCCTATATTAGGGGAAATGTAAGTTTTGGATAAATACGCAACTTTTCCGCAGGAAGAAATTCTGCTGCCACGGTATGTATGAAGTATGAGCAGCAGATGGCGCTACTGTCACATTCACCTGGACACAGACTTTACTTCATGTGTCTGTTGCGACAGATGCGTCGTTGAGATGTCTTCTTGACGTGCACGTAAGAAATCTTTGTCTGCCTTCAGACTTTCATAAAAAAAACTTTGGGGATTTGATCATCAAATAGTCACTTCTTAAAACATCTCATCTATGAAAATACTAATACTAATAGTGAGTGTAATTAAGTAGACTTAACAGTAAACAGAGTAAATCTGTCATATTCCATATTTTTATACAACTTGAGCTTTAAAATCTATTATTTATCCCTTAACTGTGTGAATGATAGACAAATAGAAAAACATGTTGTTACAAAAAAGTTTATTTTATCACCTTATTCGTTTGTGTCTGCAGATTTCAATTATACATATCTTTAAAGGCTGTTTTCTCAAAATGAGTTTTTCTCCTGCACGGGGTCAGAAATCTCCACTTCAATAGCACTTACATACACTAAACCTTTCAGTTATATTCCTGTCTACATTCTGAAAGTTTTTACAGAGGGGATTGTTCATCTATCATTTGTCTGATTTATTTAACATTTTATTCAATAATAATAACAATGAGGTTTTAATTATACGGCAGGCATCAGACACATACT